GCCGGGGAAGAAAAGAGAGGGAACGTTACTTATGTGTGGTGGCGAGGCCTTCCAGAGCTCATCCCGGGGTTCCCCCGACCCGAAAAGCACTCGCCATCTCACACGCAGATGACCACGCGGGGAAGGAGAGTTCCACCCGTTTGCCGGCCGGTGAGCCCCGGTGCGCAGCTCCTCCGACTAATCCCGGCCTTGACGGTCCCCGACTCCAACCCAAACCGCCAGTCCCAAGCCCGAACACGACGCGGGGAGTCCCTCACCAAAAGAAGGTGTTGGTGCCATCGTCGTAGACCTCGGACTCGGTGCTGCGGCGACCCTCAAACAGCGGAGACCCAGACCCCGAGCCTCTGGCGACTCTGCGCTCGCCCCTCCGCATGGCGCCCGGCCTGCGCAGCCCGCCAGGCTGCAGGCAGCGGGCAGGGGTCGCACTGCCGCCCAGCGGGGTCTCCGCGGGAGTGGGGCGGGGCCGTGAGGCATTGTGGGACGCGTAGTGCGCGCCGAGCCGCAGGGCATGCTGGGCGCTGGCAGCCTAGGTCCTGAGCTGCGAGCTGGGAGGGATGCGGTCCGGTTGCTAGGAGACCGGCCGCGTGCTCCACCGGCAGGGAGACTGTTCTAGCAGGTGGCAGTGGCTGGTGTTGATAGAGTTCCGAAGACAGGTGTCTGGGGACGCAAAGAAAGAATCAGCTTAAGCTGTTGGGGTGGCCCTAGCATGCGAAATAAGCACTCGGGAGGCTGAGGCAGGAGGATTGCATCAATCCCTGGGTTACATAGACAAACCTTGTTTTAAAAAAGGGGGGTGGGTGTGCTGGAGAGATGGCTAAGCAGTTAAGTACACTGGCTGCTCTTCTAAAGGACCTAGTTCAGTTCTCACACCCCCATGGCAGCTCACAATCTATTGTAACTTCCGTTCCAGTAAACCCAACGCCCTCTTCGGCTCCCCCAGGCACTGCATACAGGTGGTGCATATACATCCAACAAAACGCCTATATACATAAGATTTTAAAAATAAAAAATAAAATTTTAACCAGGTGCGGTGGCAAACGCCTTTAATACCAGCATCTCAGGAGGCAAAGACAGGAAGATCTGCATGTGTTTGAAGACAATCTGGTCTACATAGTGAAACCCAGATCAGTCACAGCTACACAGCGAGACTCTCTCCATTTTTTTTTTTTTTTGATTTTTCGAGGCAGGATTTCTCCATAGGTTTTGGTTCCTGTCCTGGAACTAGCTCTTGTAGACCAGGCTGGCCTCGAACTCACAGAGATCCGCCTGCCTCTGCCTCCCGAGTGCTGGGATTAAAGGCGTGCTCCACCATCGCCCGGCTCCATTTTTAAAATTAATTAATTAATTTACTATTGCTTTAAATTAACTGGATGAGGTAAGCTGGATAGTTGAAAGAGTACGGAGAGTTACTGAAAATACATTTCTGCCGTAGGGTAGAGAATGGCTTACCTAAACTTGTGTGAGGGTGCGGGTTCTTTTTCAGTTTTATGAGTTGTGATGCCGTGGACCTGAAATCCTAGCACTTTGAGGTGGAGGTGAGTAGATCAGGAAGTTCATGGTTATCCTTCCATGGGACTAGGAGCCTCTGACAGGTAGGAAGAGAACCTACGAATAAATATTAAAGGTTGCAAATTTCAGCGGGGCAGTGATGGCTCACGCCCTTAATCCCAATAATCCAGAGGCAGGTAGATCTCTGTGAGTTTCAGACAGTCAAAACTACACAGAGAAACACTGTCTCAAAGACAAACAAAAAAGATGGCAAACTTCTGGTTTCTTCTTCACCCTCCTCAACTAAAAGAAAACTCTAGCAGTTTAAAATACAGGCTGTGGAGGCTTTTTCTCTGATAGTAGGAGTCCCGGTCTGTAGAGCGGCCTCATCACAAATTCAAAGCCAGATAAGGACTTGTTTGCCCAAAAGTTGTAGTCTTATTGTGGGCCTGTCAGACTCCTTGTTATTATTCAAACTGACAAAGCATAAACTAGGGGAGGGACACCTCTTTTTTTAAATTACCTTTTTACTGCTGTAAACATCTCCTTTATTTTAATCCTTCCATAAAAAGCTGGCAAAGAATGCCACCAGCAATCACACATGTATAGAAGTTCCAGTTTTGTTTTGCTTCTGAAAGGATGTTTAAGGACAATTCTGAATTACAATTTAATCTTAGATAATAAAGAACTAAAAGTAAGGTCTAAGTTGCTGGTTTCTAAAAGCATTTTTAAAACTTAATAGATCAACTATAGCATGTGCTAAATACTCTCTATTTGATATATTCTACATAGACCACAGTAAGTGCCTTTCAATGGTAAAAGGCAGCATCCTTTGACTTAGGGAATTCTAATAAAATAACACCATCGAGTCAAGAATAGACAGTTGCCCCCTGACCTTTAGCCATTGCCTGTAACAGCAGGGAGTACAAACTTTACCACAAATGAGTCTTCTCATTTCTGAGATGGTGACAGAATTTCCCCAGTGTTTAAACATATTCATGTGTCCAATTATATAAATTTAATTATAAGACCATTCAATAGGTTTGAGGTGACACCCCATCCTTGTGGAAAGTAGAACTTTAATAATTAAGTCCAATCTTATCTTGAGAAAGGGAGAACAGTGACGGTGTTCATGCAACTGGAATCATTACTTTTAAAAAAGATCACATCCACTTTTCTACAAGTCAGTTTATCCTTAATCAAGACCGTCCAACAAAACACTGTTAGCCGTTCATGATCTGAATTTGGGGGTAGGAAGTAAATTACGGTACACATTAAAAGTCATGAGACATGTGTTTTGTAATAAATATAGCAGCGGAGTTTCTCCTTAGCAGCCTTTTTAAGATAAGCTATTAGGTCCGCCCTTTCTCCCTTCTTAATTCCAGTGAAGATCATTTTTCTTCCAGGGATGTACTTTTTGGAATTCTCCAAACACTCCATCAGGGCATCCTCTCCCCAGGTGATGCCTTTGTTCTTGTTGGCATCTGTGTATGAGACCCTCTTAAAGATCCTTAAAGTCTTATGCCTAAATTGCTGATATGGCCACAGTGGTCCAAGCCTTTAATTCCAGAATCCAGAGACAGGTAAGTCTCTATGAGTTTGGAGGCCAGCATGATTTATATAGTGAGTTCCAGGCCAGCCTGGGCTATATAGTGAGATCCTGTCTCAAAGAACCATCCAGCCTTCAAAGAAAGACCGGATTTGGGGCTCTTGAGTGCCCCCTGAGTCTGCAGAGGGTCTTTCTCTAGGTGCCCTGTGTGCTTCCTCGCCCTAAGGAAAGCCTTTCTTTACCAGCTGATTTTGTGTACTGTAGCCCAGATTTCCTCTTCAACTGCTGTGTCTTTTCATTCTCTAATTGGCAGAGAACAGAACACAGAAGGTACCTCTTGGCTACATCACCAGATTGATGCCAGACTGAGCTACAGGAGACCCTGTCTTTAAAAACAAGAACAAATATAAGCAAGCAAACAAACAAAATCACCAGTTATCTCAAAGGAAGGCAGCACCATAGTCCCTTTATTCTACTAGTTCTTTTCTTTCTCTCTTTCTTTTCTTGGAGCTGAAAAGCAAGGGCCACCTCAACTGTAGGCATTTGATGTCATTCTCAGTTCATGTTTCTCCCAGAATTTTAAAAATTATTTTAACTAGGAATTAAAACAAAACTCAAAAACCAGCATATAATCTTTTTTTACAATGACAAAAAAATTACACTTGGTTAGGGAGAATTAGGATTGTAAATTGGGAAAAGAAATTTAAGCAATCTCGTCAATGTACTACTTACTTCATAATTTAAAGGCAAGAGCACAGTGGACACAGTGAATTTCTTCTCAAAGTGGCAATGTCTAGGTTTCAAGAAAATAAAGTTATAGCTAGGCATGGTGGCATACACCTTTAGTCTCAGCACTCAAGAGGCAGAGGCAGGACAGCCAGAGGCCAGGCTACAAAGTGAGACTCTGTCTCAACAGAAAGGAAGAAAGTTACATGTGGAAAAAAAAAAAACTCAAAGGCGAGTTTCTAGGATGAAATATTTTCTTGAGAAAACAAGAAGACCCAGCACTTGCTTCTGTAAAACTCTGCATTTGAAAACAAAAACTTAACAAAACAAAAGGCTACACTTGTAGAACTCTATGATGGAGTAGCATTACAATGTTTCAGATCCTGATCCAAATTATCTTGGGCTGTCTTTAGTATCCTTAAACCATTCATTCCCCACCTCCGTATTTAACCTAACACCCCTTTTGGACCATTGGGTAAAACCTGAGGGATGTGTTCTTTGTCAACCACTCTCCTATAACAAACCCACAACTAAGAATACTATCAGCATCTTAAGGGGGTACCAGAGATTGCCCTCCTTTGTAGTAGCCTGTTTAACTGTGGTCCCCACCAGTGTATTTAGAAAATGCAGTAGCAATCCCTGGGGGGAAAGTGCCAAATGGCAACTTCAAAAAAAGCATAAAGCATTTGAATTTGAAGGAAAAGCAACTGTGTGAAATTTGAAGTCATTTATTTATGATGTTAAGTGAGCAAATAAAAACACAACTGAAACTGTTTAAACAAAAACTCTGTATGTGTGTATGTTCGTGCAAGAGTATGGTTGTGCCTGTGGAAGCCAGAGGGTCAAGATTTGGGAGCCGGTTCTTGCCTTCCATCTGTACAAAATATTAAAGATGAGTTTTTTTTCTATCAGCCACTATAACTCTGTGTTCAAAACAAGAAATCCAAGTTATTTCATCCCCTCCTTATAAAACATTTATGCAATTATCTTAAACCCCCCACACCTCCACCCACCCTCCCACCCCTGTAAAGCCTTCCTTTCCTTGCCTTCAGAAACTGATGTCTGGAGCAGTGACTCCTTTCTCCTTTCCTTCGTTTCTTTTGCTGCAGATGCCTTTAAAATCAGCCGGTCTTGAAAGACAGAGGTCAGATCTCAGACAATGTTAAGCCCAACGATAGGAAGAAAAAGACCACTGACTCAAATCATCGTGGCCAAATTGATTAAAACAAGCAATAAGTTAAAGCAAACTTTTTATTTCTGAATACGGGCTGTCAACCCCTAAGGGGAGATTCGAGGGGTCACCACTAGATGTGAGGAAGACAAGGCTTTCATAGCTCAAGGGTAGGGGGTTTCCCGAATGGGGGATCTGGCAGGCAAAATAGGGGTTACAGGAGCAGAACATAAGCATGACCATTTAGTCCTAATGACCTCCTCAAACAAAGTCGTGGTAGAAGGTGGACAGAACAAGAAAGTCAGAACAGCAGGTGGTCATAACAAGGTGGTCATAGGGGGTCAGATAACCTTTTGAAACAAACTGTAGGGTTGCAAGATGGCTATAAACAACTTTTTGAAACAAAGACATGATTGCCATTCCTGGAACAGGCAGTACAGAACCATGTGTAGTCAAGGTTACAAGTGGGGCACAGTTCAATCCTGGAGAAACAGGTTTAATCATAAACAGGAATGAACCTAGTTTGTCTTTATTATAGGATGGTTTTTAGGGCTGGAGAGGTGGCTCTGAGGTTAAGAGCACTTACTGCTCTTCCAAAGGTCCTGAGTTCAATTCCCAGCAACCACATGGTGGCTCACAACCATCTCTAATGGGATCCGGTATCCTCCTCCTGGCTTGCAAGGATACACGCAGGCAGAATACTATACATAATAAATAAATAAATCTTAAAAAGAAAAATAGAAAGAAATAATAAGATGGCTTTTAAGTCTAAGATGGAGGCAGGCTGGTTCTTCATCACCACTTGTAATAGAATAAAAATTGAGTGCACTTCCTGTCTCCGACTGTTTGCTCCTTAGAGCACAGTCAACGCTAAGGTACCCTTGTCAAGAGACTTTAAGTAGAGTGGTGTCTACTATAGGCTAGCTGGCTCCTTCTGTGTCTGCCTCTCCATCTCAGCCACAGGAGTACTAGGATTGCAGCTGCATGCCACAGAATACAGCTTCTTACATGGGTTCCAGGTATCAGATTGAGGTCCTCGGGTTTGTGCAGCTAGTACTTTTACCTTCTGAGCCATCTCCCCGGCCCTAGGTAGGTTTCTTTTTTTTTTTTCTTTTTTTTTCAAGACAGGGTTTCTCTGTGGCTTTGGAGCCTGTCCTGGAACTAGCTCTGTAGACCAGGCTGGTCTCGAACTCACAGAGATCCGCCTGCCTCTGCCTCCCGAGTGCTGGGATTAAAGGCGTGCGCCACCACGGCCGGGCTCCTAGGTAGGTTTCTATTGTGGCAGGGTCTCCCTAGGTACCCTCAACTGACTTGCAACTCACCATGTAGTCCAGAGTGGCTAGCAATCCCAATGCCACAGGCTTCCAAGTGTTGAGATTACAGGCTGGTATCATCACCCTCAGCCTCATTTGAGTAGGGTTTTGACAGTGATTCCATTTGGATTCTCTGAGCAGTAGTTGGCCCATGGGCTGAAGACACAGCTCCATGCCAAGGCTTATGAAACTGGACTTCTTACTACACCCTAGGAAATTTCAGGATGAGTCAGTATGAAGTAAATTTGGAATTAATTAAGAAGAGAATTTAACACAGACTTACACATGATGGGGGGGGGGCAGGCTTATAGGAAATAGAAAAGTACCTGCCCAAGTGGGAATGTGGGTCTCTCCAGACGGTCCCCCTTAAATATCTTTACAGTGGCCATGCAAGATGCCGGTGTCATCTGAAGTTCCATATCAAAGGGTTGCTAAAGGATTTAAATGTGGCCATAAAGCGCTCCTGATGTGTACTGGACAGTATTACAGCTGATAAGGTAAAACACTAGGGTTCAAGGGTTGCGTGGAGGGTTTTTGTTTGTTTTGGTTTTGAAGACAGGGTTTCTCTGTGTAACAGCTCTGGTTGTCCTGGAACTGTCTTTGTGGACCAGGCTGGCCTTGAACTCACAGAGATCCATCTGCCTCTGCCTCCTGAGAGCTGGGATTAAAGGCATGCAACCTCATGCCCAGCTGCATGGAGCTTTTACTGTAAACTTTTGTCTTTGAAACTCAGAAATTTTCAGGTTCCAATGTGGGAAAGAAGTAAACCCATATTCTAAGGTCATATACACGCAGGGCTTAAGCATGGGTCATTGTTATTTTAACATTGTTATTTGAAATTACTTCTGTATAAAAGAAGCATATTGCTTCTATGCAGCCAGTCTTCACAACAAAAGTCAGTTGTGCCGGAATTCTTGACTTTCAGCTAGGGAGGGGCTCCTTTTCCTTCCCATGTCTCCTTACTTTTTTCCCTGTCTTTCTAGCCTGCTTCAATGTTTACAACTTTTAACAGTTTGTTAAAATACTCAACACCTTAATACTGAACCTTGCTCGGACACACAGATCTGTGAGTCTTCCGTTGAGTGCTTGCCTCTGGGCCCCCTGCAGCTCACTGCTCTGATCCGGTACGGCCCCACGCAGTATGTCGGCCCTGTGTTGGGTACACACATCGTTGGGTGTGCGACTGGACAATTCGGGGCTACAAAAGAGGGCAGGGCTGTTTCTCAGTTTCCATCCTGTACATGGGCCTTGAAGCAGCAGAGAGCGTGATGGGGTAGGCGGCGCCAAGACTGCATTGTCTGGGACTGAGACAATGGCCTGTAACAATTTGGAGAGGAGGTGATGTCAGGCCACGCGAGGTAAGAGTCCAGCACTGGTCGGCAGGCTTACCCTGCCCAAAGACAGCTCCTTCCGAGCCATCCTCCAGCGCCCACTTCTTGTAACTCCCTTCCGAGTTCCCTTGAAGGGAGATAGCTTTCCTAGTGTGGGTGTTTCTCCTGCGCAGAGACCGCAATCCTTCTTCCGAGACATTGCTGGAATGCTGCAACCTTTTCAGAGAGGAAAGACAGAATCAACCAGTCTGTTCGGCAAGGGACTGAGCCAAGGGCTGGCCGGCTCGGGGGCGTCGTCTGGGGCCGGCCCAGGGACAAGAGGAGGGGTTTCGGGTGGGCTGAGATGAAGGACTGTAGGCGGGGTTGGGGATCAAGGGGCGGGACGAAGGGCGTGGCCAGGCTCTGAGAGGCTGGTGGGCGAGCGGTTCGAGGGCGGAGCCGAACTGCTTAGGGGCCGGGCCCCGCAGCTCGTCGGCGTTGGGTAGTGCAAGTACCGGAAAGGGCGTGGCCTGCGAGGGCGCGTCCACTTTCAGTCGGACCGCGTGCAAATGTTAGGAATTACTGCGTCTGTTTGGCGACCTGTTATGGAAAAATTCTCCCAAGTTTCCAACGCTTTACAGGTCTAAACAACTCTTGGGTTTTATCTTTGCACCTTGTTTAGAAACAGAGATGCTGAACCGCGGGAATTTTAGCGACCTCCTCTCCCAACACTTTACAGGATCACGAAGCTTCTACCTGAACTCCAGAATTCTGCTGGCGCTCCTTCTGCTTGTAGGTTCGCACCGGCGTCTCACCTCCATCTTGTCTGCAGGCTGCGAATACCTGCAGTCCCTAGGGAGTGGGACATGGAGTGGCCTTTTCTCAGCTTTGAAGCCTCATGTCAGAGACCCAAGACTCTAGAGCCAGCCAGGGCTTAAAGGAAATGGCCAGTTCCGGCCTTACCCTGGGAAGGAGGGCGCCAAAGCTCACATGGGCGTGGTCTGGTCTGCCATCAGAGGGCAAGGTTTCCTTAGGCCCAGGGAGTCACATTGATGGTGGGAAGTAGTACAACACTGGCGGAAATGTTCTCTAAAAATACCCTTACAAGGAAAAAAGAGAAAGCCTGTGTAGTGTAGGGGAACAATGGCTGGTTTCTATTGGTGTGATAAATCTATAAAGCTGAAAACTCATTCCCAGCACACCTGCCACCTGAGAGTCTTTTGGTTTTTGTTTTTTTTTTGGTTTTTCGAGACAGGGTTTCTCTGTGGCTTTGGAGCCTGTCCTGGAACTAGCTCTGTAGACCAGGCTGGTCTCGAACTCACAGAGATCCGCCTGCATCTGCCTCCCGAGTGCTGGGATTAAAGGCGTGCGCCACCACCGCCCGACTTTGTTTTTGTTTTTTTAAGGAGCAAAGCAGAGAAACCAAGGAGTCCCTGTAGGAAGGCCTCACCCTATCTGCAAAAACACAAGGCCTGCTTCAGAAGAATAGACCTGATAGGCAAGCGACCTGAGAGATGGTTAGGAACAAGGTTGGGAAGCAGCCCAGAGAGAGAATGGGAAGCAGGGTCTTGGAGGCACCCAGTTCCACTTAGAAGCTTGGTCAGAAAATCAGCATATATTTACATCCAAGTCATCAGGATTGAGAGGCACATACCAGAAGGGCTGGAGGTCCTGAGGTCAAGGGGGAAAGCAGACAGTGCTTACTCCTGTCTGGAGTTTCACTGCCCTCTGGAGCCCTGCTGGCCTCGTCCTCCTGATCCACAGAGAGGCCGCTGGATCCTGGTTAGCAGCAGGTGCCTCTTGTACTTTGGCCCTTGGAAGGCACCAAAATTTGTAGCTGGAGAAATGAGGAAGGAGTAGAAAGGGAAGAGCCGGAGCCTCATGTGGCCTGGGCCAAAGTTCTCTACCTGAAAAGGCAGGGCAGCACAACCAACAGCCAAAGAGGCTGGGCCACACCACAGCAGTGCCTCATCCATGACCGGTCCCCTTCCACCTCAGCTGCACCCCGAATAGAGACCAAAGAATACATCAAGTCTGTGAAAAGAAGATTTGTAATACTAGATCATGATATGCTAATAAAGCAATTTAATAGTAAGCATCAAATGTGTGTGTGTGTGTGGTAGAAAATGTAAAAGAAACAAACATGGGGAAGAATCAATGAATTAAGCTTATACAGACAAATATCAATTTGTGAACCTACTTTTCCAGCATTTTCATATTTCTCAACTTAGTTGAAATTTCATGCTTCTCATTAAAAGCATTTTTCTATATTCTGGACTGTATTCTTTTTTTCTTTTTGTAGTGGGTGGGACGGAGCCCTGACCTCCAGTTTGTTATGCACACACTCTGCTGTTGACTTAAATGCCAGTCCTAAAGCATAATTTTGTTTATTTTATTTTTTAGAGACAGGATCTTACTCTAGCCTTACCTATCTCGTGGAAGTGCCCACATTCAGGGAAGTGAATACAGCCAGAGACGTTCTTAGCACTCTGATCTGGAGAGAAGTTGAGCCAATCTTTTTTAGACATCAGTCCCCAAGACTGATCAACAGCCTCAGAACTGTTTCTGGTGATGCATGTTAGCTTTGCTTCCTATAACTGTTCTGAGAGGGAAAATTTATATATATATATATATATATATATATATATATGGAGAGAGAGAGAGAGAGAGAGAGAGATGTCTTTTGTATCCAAGATTGTAACGTCTTTTGTATCCAAGATTGTAAACCATCTAGATGTTCAATAACAGGAAAAATCTGAGTAAACATAGTTTGTTTCACCCACTAAATCTTAGGCTCCTGCCTGGTTGGTGGTACATATTGGAAATCCCAGAGTTTGGGAAGCTAATGCAGGAGGAACACTGCAAGTTCCAGGTCCGTATGGGCTCTATAGTAAATTTTAGTGAAACTTCATCTCAGACAATGAAAGAAGAAAGAAATAGAGGATGGGGTGGGGAGACTGTGTCCTGGGCAGGTTCAAGTGGGACCTGGCAGAAAGACAAACAGCTGTAGTATGTATGGGTCTTAGTTTGGATTCAACCTTTGCAGATTCTCTTACTGGTTGTTTGAGACTGTCTGTAGGTTGAGGCTGCTAGGTACTGAAGGGTCTTACTTTCTTCTTTAGGAAAACAGAACACATTCTCCAGGCTTCTTTGCCTTTGTATAGTTATGTGACCAGACATGTGAGGGATGGGGTACCCTCCGTTCTTCTCTTTTTCTTCTGGTTGAGTGTGGATGCAATACTAGAAAATTTAGCAGCCTTCTTAGGGAGAAATGACAGTTCCCTGCTGAAGGACTACACATCCCAGCATCCCTTGCAGACTACAGAAGTAATTTCCACCCCTATAAGGGGCCACCTCCCATTTTCCTCGGTAGGCATTTTGGCCATCCACACATGTGGGTGATATGATGTCCCCTTGCTATGAATAAAACCTCTCTTTCTGCCTTCTGTCTCTCAACAGCTGCCTTTTAAAACTATCTAACAAATGGAATAAAGACCAAGTGTTTAAGGTGGCAAAGCCTAGTAAAGAAAACCTGGGCCCTTAAAAATTATGGAGTGAACGTATTAGTCCTCATTATCCAACTCTGGACTTCCTTCTTAGGAAAGAAAATACAGGAATGTGTGTAAGTCACTACCATTTCCATTCGTTACCCATATACTAGTATATCCTTCTGGATTGGCTTCATTCCTTACACAGTGTGGTGTTTAAATAGAAAAGGCTTATTATATATTTGAGTGCTTAGCCACCAGGGATTGGAGCTCTTTGATAGGATTAGCAGGATTAGGTGTGGCCTTGGGGAAGGAAGTGTGTCTCTGAGGTTCTCTCTCTCTCTTTCTGCTTTGGGATCGAGATGTAGTTCTCAGCTACTGTACCAATAGTACATCGTGGTAGTGCTCCCTGCCATGATGATAATGAACTAAACCTCTGAAAGTGTGAGCAAACCCCCAGCTTGCTTTTCCTTTGTTTGTTTGTTTGAGACAAAGTTTCTCTGTGTAGCCCTGGCTGTCCTGGAACTAGCTCTTATAGACCAGGCTGGCCTCGATCCGGCTGCCTCTGCTTTCCAAGTGCTGGAATTATAGGTGTGCGCCACCACCGCCCAGCTTCCAGTCTTCTTTTGTAAGAATTGCCTTGGTCATGGTGTCTCTTCAAAGCAATAGGACCGTGACAAAGAGTGTTACACAGTTTGCTCTCTCTCCCTCTCTTTTCTCCTTCCCTGGTTTCTGTTTTTTTTTTCTCCTCTTTGACCACTCACAATTCGATCCCGGAGCCTGTGGCTGCCACTACGCAGAAGTAGGAGCATGTCACTCTTCTGAGAACCCTGAGCAAGTATCCATTAGCTCAATGTTTGAACTGCAGGATACTAAAACACGGTGACACAGTGTTGAGCAGGTGACATTGGGTGCCTTCTGGCTGCCAGCCACCCTGTGAGACCTTCAGAGATCCTGTCCTGACTATCAGCCTCCTTCCTGTTTCCTCAGCTTCTTATTGGTTTTCAGACCTGGCAGGTGTCTTGTCTATAATGGCATTTACAGCTCAGTGTCCTCTGTCCCCTCCCTGGTGGAGGCCATTCACCCCCTGCCAGCTTCAGCGTCCTCAGGCTGCTCCCGCTTGTTGGTTACTCCTAGGCTGCCCATAGCTTTCTCCTGCAGCTGCCTCCTTGCAGGCTTCACAAGCAGGGCTCATGATCTCAGGGCCACCCCAAGACTTCAAGGTTTCAGGAGCCCAGGTGTGAGAAGAGAGTTCCTTTTGGGATCTATCTTGCCGTCCCCTCCCCGCTTTCCTCCCTCGGAAGTCAAGAGTACATTTGAAGGGTCAGAAATGAACTCTGCAGATGTCTTGAGGACAGGTGCTACAGAGTACCTGTCTGTTAAGTCATCTATGTTACCCCTCTGGAAGGGGGCAGGTGTCACGGACCCCACCTTGCAGTCAATGCATGCCTGCAGGGAGGATGATAGGGATCGAGATGTAGTTCAGTGCTTTTCTGCCCTCTTGCCCTACCTCACCCCTGAAAGGAAAATATTGGGGTTGCTGGATTTTCTTGGCGGGTCTGCGGCTGGCTCCTCCTCCTAGTGGCTCGCACACTAGGGCGAGCTATCGGAGGAGAGGGCGGGGCAGATCACACACGGAAGTCAGGTAACAGCAGGCAGCCTGGCAGCCGCTCTCATACCTGCCAGCACCAGCATCCAGAGCCCCACGTTGACTCAGCGACCAGCCACCAACATGCAGGTGAGCCTGGGTTCTAAAGGAACATGCCTTCAGCCCCTACAGGTGCCACCCTTCCTTGGAAGGTGGCAGGCAGTTCCCAACAACCTGCCATCCAGGGGGAATGTGGCTAGAGTTGGATCCAGACCTATGGGGAATGAAGTAGCTTTGTAGCCCTATCTTGGAATTCTGGAGATTCCAGGGCTGGGCTTAAGGTTTTAGTGAGTGTGTGACTTAGGGTTTTTCTGCCAGCGTTGTCTGTGCAAGGTGAGGACCGAGATGCTGTGGTGGAACCCCCAGACCTAGGGCTTGCACCGAGAGGGAGGGACTATGAACACTATGATAGACTGGCCTAGGCAGCTGTGTGCCACGCTCTCTGGGTCCTGCTCCAAGCAGGGGCCAGCTCTAATGCTGAACTAGAAGCCTAGGTATAGAGCAGAAGGTGAGATTTGTGTGTGTATGTGCATGCATGCGTGTGTGTGTGTGTGTGTGTGTGTGTGTATGCGTGCATGTATGTGAGCATGCATGCGTGTGTGTGTGTGTGTGTGTGTGTGTGTTTTGGGGGGTGCTTTTTGGAAAGCATCACTTCTCCCCTTGTCAACCGAAAGGCCACCCGTGGCAGAGACCAGCACTGGTCTCCCCAGGGAGGAGGGAAGGGCGAGGTAGAGAGTGAAACCAGTTTCCCACTCAGGCACCAGGCCTACCAGAGCGGGCTGTGTGGGTGGCTGCTCCCTCTGCTTTTACTCAGTCCTCTCGCTGGGCCTCCCAGAACCCAGCTCTGGGAACTGCCTTCTCAAGCCAGCAGCACATAGACACCCCTTAGCCTGGCCCCAGTGCCCCCCTGCCAGCCTCTTTTCCAAGCTGTTTGGTGATGCAAAGGGAGAGTATGAGCCCTTCCATCCTCAGGGGACCTGGTGGTCCCAGCTCCTCTTGGTCCTCAGGGGACCTGGTGGTCCCAGCTCCTGTTGGTCCTCAGGGGACCTGGTGGTCCCAGCTCCTGTTGGTCCTCAGGGGACCTGGTGGTCCCAGCTCCTGTTGGTCCTCAGGGGACCTGGTGGTCCCAGCTCCTGTTGGTCCTCAGGGGACCTGGTGGTCCCAGCTCCTGTTGGTCCTCAGGGGACCTGGTGGTCCCAGCTCCTGTTGGTCCTCAGGGGACCTGGTGATCCCAGCTCCTGGTTGGTCCTCAGGGGACTTGGTGGTCCCAGCTCCTGGTTGGTCCTCAGGGGACTTGGTGGTTCCAGCTCCTGCTTGGAGCTGAGCCTGCTCTCCACTGTGTAAATTTCTTCCATGGTTCTCCATTGTTTTTGTTGAAGTCCATGAAAGCTTCCATGCTCTGGCTTCTGTAAGCTCTGCCCTTGCCCTTTATACTCCTACAGAATGGAAGCGCTGAGGACTTAGTCACCGGGAAGAGTGACTACCAAGTTCCCAGGCATGTTGAGGACTGAGTCCTGTCAGGACATGCATGTGGAGGGTCAGAGGACAGCTCTTTGGAGTTAGTTCTCTCCTTTGACCGTGTGGTCCTAGGGATCAAAATGAGGCTTGTTGGCAGGTGCCTCTATCTGCTGAGTGATCTCACTGTACTGAGCTCTTGAGAGCATTAGCTACTGAGTCTCTGAAGGGTTGAGAACTCAGTATAACTTCCAGGTGCAACCTGCCTCTCAGGACTGACCCACGCACATTCCCCTCTCCCAGAAATGCTGTTCCAACCCCTTTCCCCTCTTGCTAATCTCTTGCCTTACGAGGTAAAGACTGGGACCATCGCTCCCACCAGGTAGACGTGACTCCAGTCCCTATGTGCACCCACGCCAGGCGCCACCCTCCAGGGTTCAGCACTGAGAACACGGAATGAATCGCCTGTTTAGTGTCTAGGGATGAGCAGATGGCGGGCACACAAAAGGATGGACTGATGGAAGACAGGTGTTTACAGTCAGCTGCAAGGAGAGATGTGGAGAGAGACAGAGGCTTCAGGAGTTCCTAGGAGGCAGAGGAAGCAGAGATGGTGCCCGGAAGGCAGTGGGTTTGGGAAAGCAGACCCCTGGGCAGTAGAGGTGGCCTCTATGTTGCACACGGTGGTGGAGCTCGTGGGTCTCCCTGTGGATAATGAAACTGAAGAGTAATGTAGGCCTCAGAGCCCTAGCAAGGGAGGTAAACATGACCTTAGGGCCAGGTGGGTCACAAATGGGATGGGAAGTGAGGTTCACATGTCCTTTGCGTGTGGCTGGGATGCTGACCTGCATGTGTAGCATGTACCCACAGGTCAGGCTTGCTTTGAAGACGAATGGAGGGTGTTTGTTTGCACAACTGTCTCTTCTGTCTGTAGTGACCAGGAGGTGGAGAGGAGATGGACAGTAGGGAACAGGACTGCCCAGCTCTGGCTCTCTGCACTGCTGATCCTCCAAAGGGAGGTTCCTTAGGTGCTATGGTGTCCTACTCCCTGGAGGAGTGGCCTGTGTCCATAACAAGGAGCTGGGGTCCTAGATGAGCCCTGAACCCTGAGCCCCAGTTCACTGTATATGGCCTGCAAGACTGGGGGTGGGAGGGACAGGGTAAAATGGCAGAAACCTTAGTGCCTGGGCATGTGACTTTCTTCATTCTTTTCCTGTCCACGTATACTGTCAGGGTTCTTTATTGAAGAGGTGATATCCTTAGATTCTATAGGCGAGGAAACCGAGTCTCTGAGAGGGCTGATCACACCAGAGCCAGGGTATCTGTCTTCCTGAGCTTGAATCCTAGTCTGGCTGTATATGGCAAAGTTGGCACTGAAGGTTGATGGCTCCTGCTGAGTGTTTTGGTTCATCCCTGCCCCTGCCTTGGGTATCCCAGAGTTTCAGGAGGCCATACAGCTTCTTGGAGGTGAAACTCAATGGATTAGCAGCCAGAGGTTTTGAATATTTCAGGAACACTGAGCAAGCTGCTAGGCTGGAGGTAAAGGTACCTTCACCAGTTGGTCCAACACTAACAACTCAAGGTCGTCCTGAGATGCTCATGAGTATCATCATCCACTGGGGACCAGCAAGATGTGGCCCTGTGGTCCTGTACACACTGGCCCTGGACTGCCTGACCTGTCTGCGTGCTGTGGCCGTGGATGGGTTGGTAAGCCCAGAATGCATGGATGCAGAATTTGGTGGCTGGGCCTGTCTTGCTGTGGGCTGGAAATGGATGAACCAGGGCTAAGGGATCTCTGGCCTAACCGATAAGTTGGCCACTGTCCCTGTGTTGTGGTGGCAGTTAAAAGCTGGTGCAGCCCCCAGCTATGTATATATTGCTTTGCCATGTATATATAAATAGTGGTCCTGCCCAGAGTGACCTCAGCCTACCCTGACTGAGGTGACATCCCCAGCCCCATGAGGCTCCAGGTAATTGTTCCAAAGCTGCACACATCTCTAGTGGGAAGGGGCTTTCTAGCCTAATTTTTTGGGTTGACTAGAGACAGCCTCTGAGTCCAGCCTTCAGAGGTATGCTTTGTAGACAATCTCCTTTTCCCTAGGATCCGTCTCAGTTTAGATTCCCAAGTTCTATAGGTTCCTAGTTCTGTCCTAGGTCTCATCTCCACTCTAGTTTGTTCCAGACGTTTTTGGGTGTGGGAAGACATTTTTTAAAAACATGTATATTTTAAATTGGGGGGTTTTGTTTGTTTGTTTGTTTGTTTTTTGGTTTTTCGGGACAGGGTTTCTCTGTAGCTTTGGAGCCTGTCCTGGAACTAGCTCTTGTAAAGCAGGCTGGCCTCGAAATCACAGAGATCCGCCTTCCTCTGCCTCCTGAGTGCTGGGATTAAAGGAGTGTGCCACCACTGTCCGGCTTGTTCCAGACGTTTTAACACTTTGGTCCCACACTGATAATTCTGGCATATGGAAAGGAAAGCATGAGAGGATACCTGCCCAGGTTCAAAGTCAAAGACATCCCATAGGACACTTGCTGAGCCCTTGTGGTGGGTGGATTACTAGGCTGGATGCCAGGGACATAAGGGTCCCCTGGCTACCTATCCTGTTGGTTGAGATGTCCCAAGTGGAGACATGGGTGTTCACCCTGTCTTGCAGCTCTACGTGTAGGTTTCTCTCCTGGAGAAGTTTCCATCACTGCCCACAATACCTGAATACAGGTATTTGTGGGAAGTGGATGGGAAGCCAAGAGAGCCCAGAAGTCTGGGGAATTTTGTCAGAGGGGGAGAGGGTGGGAGCAGACAGACACGCCCCCTTGGGATCCCTGGTGAACCGTGAAGTATAGCACACGATTCTGTGCTTCCTCCGGCAGCTAGATGGAGATACAGGCAGAGGCAGCACCAGCCCATCCTCGAACCAGAAGCTCCTTGGGTATATATGAGTGTGTGTCTGTGTTCTCACGGGGATACAATAGGGTGTAGATTCAGCAACAAGACAAATGAACAAGCAAATAAAACAAAGCACCTTAGGTTAAAATGGATTTCAGATAAATAACTCTCCCTCCCAGTATAAGTATACTTAAAAACAAACAAACAAAACTCCTTCATTTTGTTTTGCTTTGAGACAAGGTCTTGCTATGTAGATTAGGCTGGCCCCAAACTCACCACCACCCTCTGAATTTCTGGCGTGTGCCACCATGCCCATCCCAAAGCCTGTTTGTCTATCTGGAATTCCTACACGACTGGGTGGCCTGTATTTTACCTGGCAGCTCTCGAACTGGCCTGTTGGAGCAGTATGGTGAGACTCTCTGGAGGAGGTAGAAGGAATGTGCTTGGGTAGGGGAAGCAAGAGCCAGACCTGGCATTGGGGTGACTTCAGGGATGGTAAGATGCAGTGTGGGGATAGAGGGGTTACTGAAGATGGGCACCGGGAATTGGTAACAAGACTCAGCGTCTATGAGAAGAGCATCCCAGCCTGCTGAATAGCCAGAGGAACAGCTTCATTTGGCTCAGGTGCCTAGAAGGTACCTGAGTGTACCTATTTCTGGGACACTGGAGCCACAAGGTCCTTGTCATTCTGGAATCCCTCTGGAGACCTTCCACCGACCCCTGTGTGTTGCTTTTAGGAGCATGGACAGAACTGTGTCACCATGTGCACAGAGCCAAGGGACACATCATGCACTACAAAACTGGCATCCTCAGCATCTGCGAAATGCTGTCTTCTTAACCAACGTGTCTGCCCATTCAACCCCTCCCTCGGCCCTTACTCCATCAGGTTTGGGAAAGCGCAACCTACTCCAACCTGCCTGGCAGCCCCCACATCCCCAATTCTTCCTCCCTGCTTCCTGCAGACCACACCCTCAGGGCAGAAGCCCCAATTGCCACTTAACTTTAGTCCGTAGGCACCTTGTTTGTTGAGAGTAAATGAAGTCCCCAGAACCCAAAACCCAGCACCCACTGAGACAGAGACCATGAGGCACCCATTGCCCCCTCCGTTAGTAGTGTCGTTTTGGTTTTGTTTTTTTTGAGACAGGGTTTCTCTGTGTAGCCTTGGCTGTCCTGGAACTCCACTCTATAGACCAGGCTGGCCTCAGACTCATGGAGATCCGCCTGCTTCTGCCTCCTGAGTGCTGGGATTAAAGGTGTGCGCCACCATTGCTGCCACCAGCACCCAGCTGGTAGTGTAGTTTTATTCCATCTGTGGGTGTTCCTAAAGATGCACCGCATTACTTGTGCTACTGAGGCAGGAAGACAAAAAACTTGATACCAGCCTGGGATTCATAATAAAACCCTATGTAAGAAAAACAAACAAGCAAAAACCCAGGCATTAGTGTCTTATGCCTGTAATCCCAGCACTCAGAATGGAGGTGGGATGACCCTATTTCAAGTTCATCTTCCCTCCTAGCCAATTTGAGGCCTGGGTCAAAAACTCAGAAACAAACAAACTGGATTGGGTATGTAGCTCAATTAGTAGAAAGCCTGCTTACCACACATGAAACCCTGGCTTCAAGCCCTAGTACCATATAAACTAGGCTTGGCTGTGTCTGTCAGTAATTCCAGGGCTGGGGACATAGAGGCAGGAGGATGAGCAGTTCAAGGGCTTTCTGGACTACGTAGTGAAGTTAAATCAATCTGATCTATATGAAACTATATTTCAAAAAATAAAGCAACATTACAGAGGTCATGGGTTCAATCCTCAGCGTGCACAGAGTGGCTTACAACCATCTGTAACTCTTGTTCTGGAATCTGATGCCCTCTTATTACCTCTGCTGGGACCATGTACACACATGGAAAACAGATATGCATGAAGGCAAAACTGTGCACAATAAAGACAAATAAAGATATAAAAAATTTAAACAAAACAAAATAGACCAGATATAGTGGTATGCATTTTTAATACCAGAACTGTGTAGGCAGAAGCAGATGGGTCTATGTGTTTGAGGACAGCCTGGTCTGCAGAGTGAGTTCCAGGCTAGCCAGGGCTACAAAGAAAGAAAAAAGCAGGTTGGTAGGTTGGAGAGATGGCTCAGTGATTAAAAGCACTGCTCTTTCAGAAGATCTAGGTTTGATTCCCAGCACCCACACAGTGGCTCACAAACTTCTGTAACTCCAGTTCCAGGGGACCTGACAACCTCTTCTTGCTTCTATGGGCACCAGGGTCAAACACAGTGTACAGGCATACATGCGGGCCAAACACCCATACGCGCAAAATAAATTAAAAAGTTAAAAAGCAGCTGGGCGGTGGTGGCGCATGCCTTTAATCCCAGCACTCGGGAGGCAGAGGCAGGCTGATCTCTGTGAGTTTGAGACCAGCCTGGTCTAGAGAGCTAGTTCCAGGACAGGCTCCAAAGCCACAGAGAAACCCTGTCTCGAAAAAACAAAAACAAAAACAAAAAAAAGTTAAAAAGCAGAGCTTTAATTGTTACTTGCTTTTCATTTTATAAAGAAGTATATCTTGCTAGGGACTTGAGAGACGACTCAGTGGTTAAGAGCACTGGCTGCTCTTCCAGAGGACCCTGGCTCGATTTCAGGCCCCCACATGGTGACTCATAAAAATCCGTAACTTCTCTGGTCCTTCTGTATTACCTACCCAGCTGCAGATCTGATGTCCTCTTCTGCTTTTCACGGTACACAGGCTCAGCCGGCAAAAATGCAGGCAAAATACCTATTCTACACACGTCTTTTAAAAAAGGCATTATGCTAGCCTGGTGATGGTGGCGCACGCCTTTAATCCCAGCACTCGGGAGGCAGAGGTAGGCGGATCTCTGTGAGTTCGAGACCAGCCTGGTCTAGAGAGCTAGTTCCAGGACAGGCTCCAAAGCCACAGAGAAACCCTGTCTCGAAAAACCATAAAAAAAAAAAAAGGCATTATGCTAGATGTAGATTCCCAAGGTTCGTTTTCTTAAAAACAAGCTTATTTGAGATTTTAGGTTAGTAATAGAGCTACAAGGTCATTCTGGTGTCCCTCAGCCCTCCACCAGCTTCCCATGACAGTCTCAGAACACACCTGTGCTGCCCGGCACTCTCAGCCACACACCCATGTCTTGTCACTCAGGATTCTGTGTGGCTTTTAGTTACCGTCTTCTTTATTTTTATTTTCATTTTTACTAGCCTTGGTGTTTTGGCTGTGTGCACGTCTGTGTGAGGGTGTTGGATTCTCTGGAATTTGAGTTACAGACAGGCAGCTGTGAGCTGCCATGTGGGTGCTGGGAATTGAACCCCGGTCCTCTAGAAGAGCAGTCAGTACTCTTAACCACTGAGCCATCTCTCCAGCCCCAAGTCACCATTTTCTTAGCTTCCCCTTAAGATACTTCTTCCCCTTATCTTGGTGACGTGACTTCCTGGACACTCTCCACGTGACCCTCTGAACGTCTCTGAGGACGTTCAGGTGAGACAGATTATAGGCATCCGGCAGCAGGACCATCGCTCACTTCCACAACCAGTCATGCGTCCCTGACTGCCATGGATCTAAGGGGCAACCACAACCTTCCTCATATGGATTGAGGCAATACTGGTGCCCACTATGTTTCCCATGCTCACAGCTTTCTCTAGGCACTGAACCTAGCCCAGAGTGGGGAGAGATGCAAGCCCATCTCCCAGAAGACCTGGGGTACCCACTGTGGTCCAGTAGTGAACCAGTCACAAGCTTCAAGTGCTCCAGATTCCACTCATGGCTCTCAGCACTGGGGAATAGGCCTGTCTTGGGGGATCTGTGTTCTCAAGAATGGCCTGGTCACAGGGTCCACTACTGCCAATTAAAATTCCAGTGTAAAATGTTCCCCAAGTTTGTGTGAACTCCTAGCAGTACACAGTGCATCCCTGATGTCCCCTGACTTTGGCATCCTCAGACTCCGACCTGCCCCTCCCTGATTCTCTGAGGTTGCCATTTCTTCACCCATCAAGAGCTTACTAGGCCTTCTTTCAGTGACATCCCTGTGAACCACTGTCTGCCGTGGAGGAACGGGGCTGTCTGACCTTCCTGGAAGCCCTGAAGGAACTCCTTGGTGTTACCACACAGACTCTGCTGGTTCTCTTGTCAACCTCTGCTCCCTTGTGACATCCTCAGCCTCACCTCCACCAGGAATGACCTATTTGCCAACTAGTTTCTGGCAGACCAGCCCCCAGCTTGGTGCAGAGTAGGGAATCTTGCTGCTTTGTTTACCAACTCAGAGAATGTAGGAGGAGAACTGCATGCTCATCTCCCCATTCTTCTCTGTTCTCCAGGGTGATGAGAGCCTTCAGATCTTTGTGGGACCAGAAGGGGACTGCTTGCCACTGATGGAAAGGGGAACTTGTAAGGTGAGGCTGATCAGACCTCCCAGGATTGGTTCCATCGACCCGTCACCTACTCTGTGTATTCTGTGCTTGGTTATGGTCCTACACCTCTTCCCATATCCATATCCTATGTTGGCTTCCTCTCCCACACCCTTTCCCATCCTGTGTCTTGCACTGGGTCCCACATCTACATTTCTTCCTGTCACTGTCCAGTGTTCTGTTTCTATCCCATGCCTTCTTCCTCCAGCTTGAGGACTCTCATCAATGGGACTGTGTCCTGGTGGCTGATCTCCAGACCCAGAAATTCGAGAAGCAGGTGCAGAGGCAACGACAGTTCCTGGAGAAACTCGAAAGCAAGGGCTTCCACTACAAGGTGGGTTAGTTTGCATCAGGGGCCGAGTCATGGGGAATGCCACATCATATGTCCCAGGAACAGGGGACAGGATAGTGGCTGTGGATGAGTTGGTTCCCCTGTGGCTCCCAAGATAATAAAGGACCAGAAGAAGGTGTTCTTTGGAATTCGTGCTGACAGTAGGATCTTTGACCTGTACCGGACTCTTCTCATGAAGCCCGAAGATCCTGGTCCCAGAGCCAAACTGAGCAATATTAACTCCATCCCAGTTACCACAAGGTGAGGATGTATCCAGAGCCCAGCCAGGAGAACCCCTGCCCTGTGTCCAGGCAGAACAAGGGCCACATCCCACCTGAGGAAGGACAATACAGTTCCATACAGTCTTAGCGTGGATGTCACAGAGGACCAGGCCTCACTTTTTGAGCAAGGCTCTGTGCCCCAGGATTCATTTTGTAATAGTAATAATGACAGCTTGTACCGGGCTTCTCTTTTTGGCCACCAACCAGCTCCCAAATCCTGACATGGAGACTTATTATTAGTTTTGAATTCTCGGCCTAGCTTAGGCTCATCTCTGGCTAGTTCTTTTAACTTGAATTAACCTGTTTCTCTTCTTCTATCCTTTGCCTCGTGGCTTTTTATCTTTCATCCCTTCTTTATATCTTATATTCGGTTTCGCATGTCTGGCTGGTGGTTGCCTGGCTTCTGGCGCCGAGCATCTCCCTTGTTTGCTTCTTTCTTTTTCCTCTTGTTCTCCCTGACACACACACCTAGATTTCTCCTCCTACTTATTCTCTCTGCCTGCCAGCCCCACCTATCCTTTCTCTGTCTAGCTGTTGACCATTTGGTTCTTTATTAGATCAATCAGGTGCTTTAGGTGGGCAACGGAACAAATGCAACAACACTTGTAAAACATGCAGCCTAAACAAATGTAACACACCTTTACACAGTTCAGATAATATTCCACAACAACAGCTCACTTCTTTTTTTTTTTTTTTTTTTTTTTTTGGTTTTTCGAGACAGGGTTTCTCTGTGGCTTTGGAGCCTCTCCTGGAACTAGCTCTTGTAGACCAGGCTGGTCTCGAACTCACAGAGATCAGCCTGCCTCTGCCTCCCAAGTGCTGGGATTAAAGGCGTGCCCCACCACCGCCCGGCAACAGCTCACTTCTTGACATCCTGTGAGAACTCCTAGTCATGGTTTTCCTTGAATCAAAGTCAGCCCTAAAGTGAACAGACACCTTTTCTAGTCTCTGAGGTCTTTATCTCCCATAGATCCCTTCCTCATCAGCTCAGAATCCCCTCTCTGGACATCTGGCTCCTGGCTATCTGACAGGGACAGCATCCTGTGTCCCCAGATACCTGCTCCTCCATGAACATTCATGCACCCCTTTCTGGTCCTTCTGTGTCTTCTACCCACCCCAGGCAGCACTATCTGGGGGCTTATCTAGTTGACTTTGGCAAAGGACAGTCAGGGAATTAAGCACCAGGCAACAGAGTCCTGTGAACACAGAGTTTTTTGGTACTGGGGAGGCTTGAGAGGAAATCAGAAGCTTAGAGGCACCTTGATTCAGGGCACGAGAAAGACAGACCCGCAGAGGGGCTTTCCATGTGTTCACAAGGTGACTGAATCTCAGACACTTAACTTGTGTCTGAGTATGGCTCTCCAAGTGCCTGTGTGGCCTTGGGCAAGCTACCCTAACCTCTGAACACCAGTTTTCACATAAGCCGAAGGCTTCATAACCACGAAAGAGGGCTTGTGCACGTTAACACTCAGCATGTACAAGCGAGTGTGGTCAGAGGTGGGGGCTCGATGTGGAACCCCAAGAGTAGGGGCAGGACCCTGTCCTGGAAGCCAGGCAAACCTGACCTGAACAGGGTTTCAGGGCGATTTATGGCCTCTGGGTTCTGGTCAGTATTGCTGGAGTGCCTCTTCCAGAACAGAGAGGGTAGAGAACAGGCCTTAAGGGGCAGGGTCCACTAGGCTATCATGGGGCTGTTCTGATCCTTAGATTCTTGGGTTTCAGGATCCGAATTGTGAGCTTCATCGTCAACAACAAGGCAAAACCCGGTGGTAAGCACAGATGGACAGGTGGCCTAGGAGGGTGCTGCTGTGGGCTGGATTCTCCTACCCTCCTCTCTTCTCTGACTGAGGTTCCCTGGAACCCCTAGATACCTTTGAGGATCTAGTGAAAGATGGGGTGTTTGAGACCATGTTTCCTCTGCACGAGGTGAGGGGTGACAAATTCAAAATGGGCCTGAGGGTGGGAACCCAAGGTAGGAAGCCAAGTTCTCATGGCCTGTCTTCCGTGACGCAGGGGGAAAAAGAACTGAAGAGAAAATGGGCCCGATGGAGAAACATGTTCCGGAAACAGCCGATTGATGACATTAGGTAAGACCACACCAAGCCGCTCACCTGTGTGCCATATCTGTGCTCAAACCAGATAACCTGTGACCCAGTAAATCCAGTCCTAGGTGACAGAAAGAGTCCCCACTTACACCGATGCCAGCAGCCCCCCCCTCAAGCCTCTCTTCATATGCCCTCACCCTATCAGGTCCTGAGGCCACTGGGGGGGTGGTGTTGATGGGGAAGCTTTCCCACAGGAACTACTTCGGCGAGAAGGTGGCCCTGTATTTCGCCTGGCTTGGCTGGTACACCTATATGCTGGTGCCTGCTGCTGTGGTGGGCCTCATCATCTTTCTGAGTGGCTTCGCCCTGTTTAATTCCAGCCAGATCAGGTAGGTGGGCTGGGGCTTGAGGCCTGCAGTCTCACCGAGGGCTAGCAATGGCTGTGGGAGCCTGGGCAGATCCTGCACCTGAGACTCACTGGTCTCTTTACTCCCAGCAAAGAGATCTGTGCGGCAGACGACATCTTTATGTGCCCCCTTGGTGAAAACAGTCACAATTACCAGCGACTCTCAGGAATGTGCGCTTTTGCGAAGGTTTGGTGTTACTAGAGTCTTTCCAGGGCGTATGCAAGGGTTGGCATAGTATGTCCCTCTAGAAGTGGGGAAGACAAGGCACCTGGATGCCCTGAAGAGCCAGGCTCTCCCTTCCCCATTGAGGACATGGGTAGGAGGCCCAGCATAGCCTTTCTGCTCCCTCTCCTCAGCTCACTCATCTCTTTGACAACGATGGCACTGTGGTGTTTGCCATCTTCATGGCTCTGTGGGGTGAGTTACTGCTGGGCATCCCTGCAGGGTCCTAGGGCCAGCCAGCCTGAGCTCACCCCAGGTGTGCTGTGACACTTCCCTGTGCTCACCACAGCCACGGTGTTTCTGGAGATCTGGAAGCGGCAGCGCGCCCGTGTGGTCTTGCACTGGGACTTGTACGGATGGGATAAGGAAGAGGTAGGATGGGGCCATCGGCATCAAGGCTGCCTGTTTCCAGTGTCCCACGTGGCCCACACCTGTGTCTGTGTATCTGAGGCGTGTCTGGTGACCTTCCTAGGAAGAGATGGCCCTTCAGCTCATCAACTGCCCAGACTACAAGCTAAAGACCCATCACCACTCCTACCTGAGCAGCACCATCATTCTCATCCTGTCCCTGTTCATGGTACTGTCGGGAACAGTGCTGAGGGCTGGAGACCCAGCTATCCCCATTCTTCATGGCCGCCCCCCACCCTTCGCAGATCTGTTTCATGATTGGCATGGCCCATTTGCTGGTCGTCTACCGTGTGATGGCCGCTGCTCTGTTCAGCAGCATCATGGAGCACCAGGTGACGACTGTCGTGGTGGTGACCGGAGCCGTGGTGCATTATGTAATCATAGTCATCATGACCAAGGTAGAAGTCAGGCATGGGGAGCCCTGGGGGGCTCGGCTGAAGTTCCAGGTGACTCCCGCTTGGTTCCTTCTTCCCTCAGGTCAACAAATATGTAGCCCTGAAGCTTTGTAGCTTTGGTGAGAAGAGGCCAGCCTCTCTCTGGGAGTTGGGGAGGACTCGGGGCTGAGAGTCATGGAGCTGTGATCAGACGTGGGGTGGAGACTTCCTGCTTTTCTGGGTCCTCTCATTTGAGAGGTGTAGGTCATGATGTCCTATCGGTCTAGGGAAAGACAGGATGGCCATGTCTCATTCCAGAGGATCCCAGGACCTTTTCAGAGCGAGAGAGCAAGTTCACGGTCAAGTTTTTCATCCTGCAGTTCTTCGCCCACTTCTCTTCTCTCATCTACATCGCCTTCATTCTGGGCAGGTATGTCCCCACTGTCCCAATTGCCCGTCCTCCGCCCCGGCCCCCAGCTCCCTCAGCCTCAGCGTGCCTGGCTTGTTTCTCGCTTTTTAAAGTGGCCAGATCTTAGTTACACACCTTCGATGCCAGCTCTCGGGGCGGAGTGGGGGGCAGGTGGCTTGGTTTGACATAGGCTGGCATTCCGTATTCTCGTTCATGGCACTCCTGCTTCAGTCTTTTGAGTGCGGGCATTGGAAGTGTGGCCACTGGATGGGACGTGAAAGCAGACGCTTTTAAGCACAAAATGACACTATGTGCAGTTACCATGGGGAGCTACGGAGGTCATGTTCAACAGACCTTGTCTGGATGCATCTGAGCCTGTGCACACCTAGAGTAAGGTGCCTCAGGGTACCGTCCCCTCCTGCCATTTCTTTCCTATTTTTCTCAGGTACTTTTCTATGGCTTTGATAAAACACCAGAACCAAGGCAACTTACAAATAAAAGCATTTAATTTGGCTTAAGGTTTCAGAAGTTAGAGTTCATGATGGCAGAGCAAAGGAAACCTTAGAGTTCACACCGTAATTGACAACCACAAGACAGAGAGAGAGAGAGAGAGAGAGAGAGAGAGAGAGAGAGAGATTTGAAACCTCAAAGCCTGCTCCAGTGTGACATTATCTCCAACAAGGCCACACCTCCTAATCCTTCACAGTGTTACCTACTGGGGACCAAATATTCAAGCCTATGAGTCTATGAGAGGCATTCTCATTCAAACCAGCACATTCCACACCCTGGCCCCCTGTAGGCACAGGAGCCTATCACAATGCCAAGTGTGTTCAGTTCAGTTTCAAAAGTCTCTATAGTCCTTCAGTCTCAATGCTATTTAAAAGTTCAAAGATCAAAGTCTTCTGAGACTCAGGTAATCTTAGTGCCCTGTAAAACAAAAAAGCAAATTACATACTTCCAACACACAGTGACACAGAATAAACATTACCGTTATGAAAAGGAGAAGTAGGGATATCCAGAAGAAATACTGAGCCGCATGGTGGTGGTGCGCACCTTGAATCCCAGCACTCGAGAGGCAGAGGCAGGCCACTCAATCTCTTTGAGTTCAAAGCCAGCTGGCCTATGGGACCTAGTTCCAGGACAGTTAGGGCTACACAAAAGAAACCCTGTCTTGAAAAACAAAACAAAAACAGAAATATTGGACAAAAGTAAGACTGAAAAACCCAGCAGGACAAACTCCAAATCTTGTAGATCCATGTCCCTTGTCAAAGTGTTTAGATGGCTCCAGCCTCCCGGCTTTGCTGCCTGCAACACACTCTCTCCCTTGAGCTGGGTCCACTCCCTGCATGGAGCTCTCCTTAGCAGATATCCCATGGCTCTGGCACCTCTAACATCTCCAATACGATCTATGCTTCATTTTCAGAGCTTCCCACAATGGCCTCTCAGGGACGTCAGGAAGGGACTCCTCTGCCACATGCCTGGCCACAGCGACTCTCCTTAATTGTAGATTACACGACCCCTTGCTTGTGTATCTTTTATGACTTTAAAGACAAAATAATGTGGGTGACACTGTCAGATCTGACGTCAGACTTGGGGTGAACCCTAGAACCCACAAATCACATTCATGGCAGCTTTATTGTTGGTATTTATTATCTTTGTTTCTTTAGTTTTTTTTTCTTAAAGATTTTTTAATTTATTATGTATGCGGTGTTCCGTCTGTATGTATGCCTACAGGCCAAAAGAAGGCACCAGATCTCATTACAGATGATTGTGAGCCACCATGTGGTTGCTGGGAATTGAACTCAGGGCCTCTGGAAGAGTTCTTAAGCTCTGAGCCATCTCTCCAGCCCTGTTTTCAAGATAGGGTTTCTTTGTTATAGTCCTGGCTATCCTGGAACTTGCTCTGTAGTCAGCTTCTTCATAGGCCTTGATTTTCTCCCTAGGATCAATGGTCACCCTGGGAAGTCCACGCGCCTGGCCGGCCTGTGGAAGCTAGAGGAGGTCAGTCTGTCCTCAGACCCCACTGCCTAGTTCTTGAGTCCCTCTCCTCCCTTGAGCGCCATCCCTGACCTTCACAATGGCCCCACAGTGCCATCTCAGTGGCTGCATGACGGACCTGTTCATCCAGATGGCCATCATCATGGGGCTGAAGCAAACCCTGAGCAACTGTATTGAGTACCTGCGCCCGTGAGCACCTCTTTCTACCCCACCCCAGCCTCCTATAGTGCCTGTCCCTGTGCCCTGCCATCTTTCTGTATGTCCCACACACTCTTGGTGCCCACAGGTGGTTTGCCCATAAATACCGCTTAATGCGGGCTTATAAACGTGGCATTAAGCCCAAAGACCCAGACCTGGAGGAGTGGCAGCGTAACTACCGCATGAATCCAGTCAACACCTTCAGCCTGTTTGATGAATTCATGGAGATGAGTACGTAAAGCTCCAGCGGGCTGAACAGATGGGGTGGGTATGCAGGGTGAGAAGTGGGGGGCTGTCCTGGACCCAGGGTGACATTTCCACCCTGCAGTGATCCAGTACGGCTTCACCACCATCTTTGTGGCTGCCTTCCCACTGGCACCGCTACTGGCACTCTTCAGCAACCTTGTGGAGATCCGCCTGGACGCCATCAAGATGGTCAGACTACAGCGGCGCCTGATTCCTCGCAAGGCTAACGACATAGGTCAGAGTGCACACAAATTGTACAGTGGAGAACTGTCAGGGCGCCGGGAAAAGCAACTTCCAACCCTGGGTTTTTCACCAGTCAATGCCGGGCCACCCTGAGGCAACTTGTAATCGCTGGGGCCCTTCCCCTTACTCCAGAGACAGATCCTAGATTTTCCAGCTACGGAGACTAAACCTCATGAGCTCAATCCCTAGGAAAAGGCAGACTAGAGTACACCCACCAAGGCCCTCCCCTGAGCCTCCAGTATCTGGCTGAAGGTCTTGTGACCTCTAAGGGGACCATGAGGAAGAGCTGGAGTCTGATCACACAAGAGGGAACAGAGAGTCCAAGGCCTCAGTCACTGGACTTACCATAGTGGGAATGACAGGTGTCCGGGAAGCAGGGTTTAGCTGCTAGATGTGGGGAGAAGCATTAGGAAGAACCCCAGGCTAGGGCCCAGGTTATGAATCCTCACTCGGGTGGGGTCCAGGAAATAAACAACCTGTTGAAGAGTTCCAGGAAGGATGGGATGGGGAAAGCTGAGTCCTTCACTGCTTATGTCAAGGAGAAGAGCATACAGCCATACCACGTCTGTCTTAGCTGGGGATTTCCTTGTAGGTAATCTGGCCCACATGGCTACAATAGGACCGTGAATGGAGAGCTCACAAGGTTCCTTAACCAATCAGCTTCTAAGTTTTTAGGGTGGGAGCCTACCAATGACCAGGATGGGCTGTTTCACTTCCCTGCTGTGGTTCAGGGACCTGGCTGCAGGTACTGGAGACCATTGGAGTGCTGGCAGTCATTGCGAATGGGATGGTCATAGCCTTCACCTCCGAGTTCATCCCCAGAATAGTCTACAAGTACCACTATGGCCCATGCGCACAGAACAGGAACTTCACAGCTGAGTAAGGTGTTAAATTGTCAAGCCCCCCGAGACACTGGCCCTTCCTTCCGGTTAAGCCCTTGGAGCCCAGACCTGGGGCTCCTCTGGGTATATCTGGATGCTGCCAGGGCTATCTGGGGCTGCAGTGAGGCTGGGACTTGGCTACTCCTTGAACTGTCTATACGACTTACATACCTTGGCTGGATCCCAGGAGCCTTGGTAGGGGGAGAAGTACCAGGCCCATTTGGTAATGAGCAGCCAGTACCTAAATGGCTTGCCTGCGAAGTGATACACCTCTGCCTTGCTTCTGGCACAGGAAGGCAGAGCACAAATATGTCTTGCTCCCTGCAGACTGGGGCTCTTTGCGTCAGTCCTAGCAGCTTTCTTCCTGCCTGGCCGGGAAGACGGTTGGTGACCCCTCAGCCTCTTTCACCCCTCCCCAGTATGGCCTTGTACTTTTCTTATGTGGGAAATGGAGGAGGCCTTCCATGGTATGCCCTCCCCCTAGTGCCCCCAAGATGCAGGTGAGTTCTCTGGAGAGGCCTCAGGCCACCAGAGTCCCACACTTCTCTCTCTCCAGCTGCCTCGAGGGCTATGTCAACCATAGCTTGTCTGTCTTCTACACCAAGCACTTCCAGGACCATGGCAAGACGGGAAGCCAAGCAAATGTGACTGTGTGCAGGTTTGGAGCCTCTTATCTCCCATAAAATGCCCTCCAAACTCCCGATTCCTGACTTTAGGGACTTCCCTATTTCAGGTACCGGGACTACCGAAACGACCGTGACTACAATTTGTCTGAGCAGTTCTGGTTCATTCTGGCCATCCGGCTGGCCTTCGTCATCCTCTTTGAGGTGGGCAGAATTGTGAGGGAGCCTAAGTAAAGGCAGGTCTCACTTTTCTTTCCCAGCCCCCAAATCCTAACCTGGCTGGGTCTCTCTCCTCCCTCCTCCCCGCAGCATGTCGCCTTATGTATCAAGCTCATTGCTGCATGGTTTGTGCCCGATGTGCCCCAATCAGTGAAGAATAAGGTTCTGGAGGAAAAGTACCAGATACTTCGGGAGAAAATGTGGTACGGATGCAGTGGCCCATTTGGCTGGGGGCAGGTCTGTGTCTGGGGACAGGCCTGGCCCCTGACCGGTACCAACGTCATCCTTTCTGTAGCTTCAGTTCTAGGAGCACAGATGTGTAGACAACCTGAGGCAGTGGAGAAATGCTGATTTCCAGGAGCCTGGACTAGGAAGGAGTCCCCATCTCTGCAGCTTGCCTCTGCCCATGACAGTGTGTATCTGTATGTTGAGGGAGGCTGTGAAAGGGTCCTCGGCGGTCTACATATATGTCAGTGAAAGACAATCATAGGAGGCCCTTGAATATGTGTAGGCATATTTGGACTCCCTAGAAACATACGTTATATGTTATATATGTTAACCAAGGGAGACTCTTGGATATGTAGGGGGTCACTGGAATTCCATGTATATTTGAGGGTATTTATGATCGGCACAGATGTGCCTGTGGAGTTTGTTCTAACTTTCCTAGGGTTCGAATGTGTCACAGACCTGACTTGAAACTCTTCAGTGACCCTAGTACCCATAGAACTTTAGGCTGCTCGTAAGATCCCACTGTAGTAAAATTAGCCCGAGTTCCACGGACCTCCTGGCTTCTGGGCCCCAGATCCTGCTCTGTGGTCTCCTACTTGGTGGGAAGCCCAGAGACTAACTTCTGCCCCCCCCCCCCGCCCCCCATTAGCTGGATCCCCACCACCGATAAAACTTTTTACAAACAAAATAAACCTGTGTGTATTGATCTCTGAGCCTCACGATGTAGATCCAGTTTCTAGGTATTATTTCTGCCCTGGGCTAGACAGAGGAGGGGTGCTCAGTGCTGGCAAGTCTGAAGTGTGGTAGCCTCGGGCCATCTGGCTTTTCTCTGGTTTGCCTCATCTCTTAGGCACAACTTATTGAAGAAGGTTCTCCTTTCAAAATATCTGGATTTTAGCATGGCAAGAGAAGACACAGGATCAGTTATGGGTGGGGTGTGGATCAAGACAGACTTACTTCCTGGACAAAATTGAAGAACTCAGGCTAGAAAAGCAGAACACCATGATGGTCGGCGGGGTGACCCATTGCTGGCTGGGCTGGCTGAGCTGGTTTGGTCACTGCCCCAATGCCGGGAAGGTTGAAGACTGAACTCCCAACAGTCTTCGGTACTAGCTTCAGGCATAAAGCGGGACACTAGGGTCCGCCCTCGCCCTGCCTGCGGGGCGGGGCTGCACCTGCCGCTGGGTCTGTCGCTGCTGCGCACCTAGGCCAGGTAAACGACCAGTTTCCGCTCGAATCCCAGGTCTGAGAGTAGGTGGGTGACAGTGGTGACTCAGACGCGTGGAGGTGAGGAGGTGAGTAGAGGTCGTGGTTCCTGGAGTCGCTCTAGTTCTAGGGTTGGGGACCTGGGCGCACTTTGCTCCTAGGAGCCTCGGGGCCATGGTCCCGCAGGAAGTAGCTCTGAACCAGGCGGGTTTCCCCAGCAGCCCGGAAGCTTGAGAGCGCTGCGCCCAGTTCCCTTCCCTGGTTTCGCTCTCTTTACTCTGCCCGACGTGATCAAATAGCTTTCCTCTTGACTTCAATGCGAGCAAGCCTTGCAGAGGCGGACCAGGGGCACAAAACCCCATCTTCACTCCCACGAGCGTATCTCAACCCCGAGCAATCTAGGACACCCTGGGCAGATTGAGGGGCTGACTGAGGCCCTGGCTCACGAGACCCCAGCAAAGCTTCCGCCTTCTGCGAGCTCCCCACTCGGTGCGCGTCCAGATTAGCTGTCGGCGCGCTTCCGCTCTCCGTGCGCGTTCCCGTCTTCTGCACGCGTGCCTAATAGACCCGCTTGCAGCACCTGTTGGGGCCGGGGAATCAGGTCTTTTGCCACCCACAGAAGACCAAGGGCAAGTTTCAGGAGCAAGATGAATTCGGGGAATAGGTTTCGTTGAGGCCTTTTATGCACCCTCCTTCCTTTAAAAAAGATATCTGGGGACCCAGCATGCGCCAGGACCTGGAGCAGCACTGGTCAAGAGTTGATTGAGTAGAAGTAAAAACCAGGCCGCGGGGACGCTGAGCAGCAAAACAGACCTGAAAGAGGGGAGCGGGCTCTGACTTTGGGGTTCTCAGCCCCAGGGTATTAACTTTTCCAATAGCACAGGCAGCTGGTAGAGCTCAAGGACTGGGCCTGGCGGGAGAAGGACCTGGGCTTTCCAGGAATCTCATAAGGTGGAGGCAATGCGGAGTGCTGCGAGGGTCCAGGCTGGCGTTTAAATTCCCAGACCCTGCGGGCCTCCAAAGGACTGCAGGGACAAGTGTTTGAGGCTCTCTGGGCTTTAATGCAAGGTTGGCCTGAGGCTGGGGTACTGGATAGAGCAGTGGTTCTCAACCTTCCTAGCACTGCGCTCAGTTAATACAATTCCTCATGTTGTGGTGACCCCCAACCATAAAATTATTTTCATTGCTACTTTATAACTGTAATCTTGCTACTGTTATGAACTGTAATGTAAACATCTGGCTTTTCCGATGGTTCTAGGTGACCCCTTCTGAAAGGGTCGTTTGACCCCAAAAGGCATCCCAACCCTTTGGGTTGAGGGCAGGTTAGAGGGTGGTAGATGTTAGCAGACAGAGGAAAGGAGAATGGTATTGACTTAAGATCCGGAGAGGGTGACAGAGACTAGGTGCTGGGGGGGGGGGGTAGGGGGGAAGCTCAAACATATGCCAGGCTTATTAGGGGGGCAAAAGTGCTTGAAGGCACTGACCTCAGTACTGGGACACTTACTCTTCACTTCTGACCTGGCTGCTCCTGAGCGTTGCTGCATTCCACCTTCTTCCTTTTTTAATTTCTTTATTTTTATTTCACGTGCATTGGTGTTTGCCTGCATGTGTGTCTGTGCAAGGATGCTGGGTCCCCTGGAACTGGAGTCACAGACAGCTGTGAGTTACCATGTGGGTGCTGGGAATTGAACCCAGGTCCTCCGGAAGAGCAGCCTGTTCTCTTACCCACTGAGCCATCTCTCCAGCCCTGCATTTCAGTTTCTTTACTCACAATATGGGAAGCACAGAACTGTCTCTGGCAAGGTCATCTAGTTACTGTGCCTATGAGGAGGCTTCAGGTAGCCAGCAGCTCCACAAGTACAGAGGACAGGGATCTGTTCCCGTCAGCCTTTCCAGCCCCGAGCCTAAGGGGCACCATCACCCAGAGGGCATGAATACCAGGCCACAGGGGTTTGAACAAGGCTGGGTCGTCATCAGGTAAGGCGGTAGGAAAGCCTGCTCCTGCATTGAGGATGCTCCTGGGTGGCCTGGACCTACTCCTACAACTGTGAGGGTGGAGGGAGGGGAGAGGAACTGGAGAAGACTCCTTGGCCAAGTCTGTAAATAATGCCACTGGGCCCCAAGACTCCAAGTCAAGAGTCCTTGGCAATAGGAGAAATGAGCTCTCTCTCTCTCTCTCTCTCTCTCTCTCTCTCTCTCTCTCTCTCTGTGCCTGTCCCACCTCAGAGCCAGAGGCTTGTGGCTCCTGTGTTTGGCACTTTACCTTGGAAAGGGGCTCTGCTCTCTCTCTCTCACCCAGCCCTAAACTAATGTCACAACTATCCGTCCACTGGAGTCTGTTGCCTGGGAGGTGGACAGGGTAAGGACCAGAGAGACGCTCTAGGTTTCATTATTGGTCACCAGTTTCTGAGAGATCCCCTTTGCTGCAGCAGGTCAGAGGTGAGACATGCCTGGGGCTTGTGTGTGTGTGTGTGTGTGTGTGTGTGTGTGTGTGCAGATAATATAATTCTTCCTCTCCACTCCTGAGTATGCTATAAAAAAATGAGAGTGTTGCCAGATTTGGAGCACACCTTTAATCTTAGCACTGAAGAGAAAGAGACAGATGGAACTCCGTTTGTTCCAGGCCAGCCCAGTCTACATAGACTGTTCCTGGTCGATCAGGGCTACACAGCAAGACCTGTGTCCAAAAGGCCGGGGTGGGAGGGATGGAGTCTAGGAGGCACGCTTCCTATCCAGTGTATATTTAGGATGATTCTGGCTGGGGGTCTCCTCATCAGGATGTCTTCACATCGCCGTAACCTCTGCCACTTGAGGTAAACACCTACGCTCTAGCACAGGAACAAATGGAGTGCTTAGGGGCTGGAGCAGTCCTGGGAGGAAGGGGCCTCTCAGAGTTACAGGAAGAGCCAGGCCAGGCGGGGCAAGGACCGCCAACAGCCCGCCCCACCAGGGGAAGGGGTGGGTACCTGGGTGGGGTTTAGGCTTAGGAGAGGATGTGACTATAAGGCCAGGAAACTAAGGGGAAAGTTCTGACTAAAATATATATCAACAAAAGCCAGGTCCTCGCCCAAGCTTGGTGATGCATCGTGGGTAGCCACAATACTGTGGCTCCTCTCTGGGGCCCAGCAGAGGGGACAATTTGCTCACAAGTTCATGTTACTGACCTCAATGACCATCTATCTCCCCTCTGGAGGAAAGATCCGGAAGCCAGGTGACTGTGCCCTCCCTGTTGCTCTGAGTGATCCTGTGGCCTTATGGTCTGTTCTTGGAGGTAGGCTCGACTGAGGAGAGGCCTATGGTGCTGAGGTGCATGAAGACACAATGTGTGTGTGTGTGTGTGTGTGTGTGCGCGCACGCACATGCGCGTGCTTGTGGCCCCTGAGATATTTGGGAGTGAGCCTGTGAGGTGAGGTGTGTGCGGCCCAAAGCCTGTGTGAAGAACAGTGTTGTATGGAAGACACATGTGTGCGCACTGGCTAGGGTGAACTCAGTGTGGCTGTGTAGGGGCCAGAGAGGCTGCGCATGCATAGAATGTGAAAGAGAAGAGGGCACAGGAGAGGGCACTGCTGCCTCAGTGAGTCACATCCTGGCAGGTTGGTCTTGATTTCTGGCAGTGTCTGCAACTGCCTTTGCAGGGGTCAAGGTCTGTCTTCTGAGCTTGAGGAGATTGAGGGCTATGGCAGGACATGTTCTGGGACCTGCTGGGCTGGGGTATGTATTTCTGGTCCCTCTGAGGAGCCAATTGAGAAATCTATCTTCTACAGACCCTTGGTAAGTAGTTTAGCTTCCAGGATTGTAGTAGGACTGCCCTTTATCCTAAAGGGTTTCTGGAAGGATCACCTTGCCACCCCTGACAGTGATGTGCCTCTTCCTGAACTAGCTCCCAAGGAGATTGATGTCTAGCCAAGCTGGAGATTTCTGACTGAGCAGTACCCAATGCAGAACAAAGGGAGACAGTATTTTAAAAAAAGCCTCTGGGGCCTTTGGGTATAGGAGGGGCATCTGAGGCAAGCCAGGCCCACGGTGTTGGGGCTCGACCCCATGCTCCTGCTGCCCATGTGTCTGGGTAGCATGGAGGGGACCAGGCACTCACTGAAATGTGTAAAGAGAGTGAACTCAGGGTGCCAAGGAAAGGGGTCACCTAGGGTCCTGGGCAGCTAACGAAGACCATCTTGAATGTTCCCTGAAGTCGTGCCATTACAGGGCTTACTGAGCACCAAGTGTGTATAATTGCTGTGAGCTGAGAATGGCCCAGGACCCTAGATAGGAGTCATCTGTGTTTGGGGTACCCGGAAGGGGTTCCCAAGGCCCTTCAGAGTGGCCTCTATACTAGCTTGGTCCCCATTTACCTCTTCTGGCCCAGATGAGCCTCAAGGTGTCGCCAGGTGTGGCGTGTCCATTAACATTCTGATGCATGACTGTATCCAGAGCAAAATCTCGCAGTTGGA